AACAACTCTAGGCTTACATAGGTTACAACAACAACATTGACTAAGAACATTTATCACAGTTAACAATAAAATATAATAATCAAAGACACATAAAAATCTTCGACAAATAATTAATTTACAATAAACAAATGAAATGAAAATAAAAGGAGCACGTGTTTAAAATAATTCATGAGAACATTTCAACAAATATTTTTCTTTTATAAATGTGGCGGCAAAAAAAACGTAGCAGTGAGTCCATCAGGTGTTCCCGCGTCTTACTGCAGTCCTTGGCCATGAAGGTAAATAGGAAAAAAAAAATGAAAATCAATTTGCGCAGACGAACGCTTCCGCAGGAAATAATTTTGGCGTGACGGTTGGCGAAGGAGGAGGAAGAGGAGGATGTGGTGAAGGAGGTGAAGGAGGAAGAAGGAGATTGAAGAGAGGTGGAGGGCGAGGAGGAGGAGGAGGGGGGGGGAGGGAGAGAAGAAGGAGATCGAGGAGGAGGAGGGGGAGGGGGAGGAAGACGAGGATGTGGTGAAGGAGGTGGATGAGCGGGGGGAGGGGGCAGGCGTAGGTGGAGTGGAGTGAGGAGAAAAAGGATAATACGAATAGCAACAGCGATGCAACATCAACAACAACAAATCCCAATTACCAACAGCGACAATCACGATAACAACAATAATCAATAACAAGACAAGAAATACTAACAATAACAACCCGATGCTAAGACAATAGCCAACGACCGCTAGCGCAAGCAGACGCCGGCATTCAACACGAGTCACCAATGCAACCTTGTGGCTCCCTCCGCCCCTCACCAGCCCGCCGACCAGCCTCAACGGACAGCCCAATCGCCTCTTAAGTCGTCGGCGCATGCGTGAGTGCGTGCATGTGGCGTCGTAACCGTGTGATTACCTCCTCCGCACGCACGCACGCACGCACGCACCGCTCCGTTCGTCGGCTGATGGCTCACGTCGTTTACAGGCGCTTGCACGCAGCCTGGTGGCTTGGGCGAAGGGTAGTTAACAAAAGGAAAGAAAAAAAATGAGCTACTGGTTGGGAAAAATCGCAGTAGGGAAAATAAGTAAGGACAAATAGACGTAGACACTTGCAGATACAGATACAAACGCAAACACACACACTCACACTCACACACACACGCACACACACTCACACTCACACTCACACACGCTCGCACACGCACGCACACAAACCAAACCGTGAACCGCCAAAGCAATCCTCGACGAGAAGAGGAACCGAAACTAACCATAAAGAGGTTACGTCCGCCATTGTCCGGCGCCTCAAAGCATAAAGCCATAAAATTTTGACCGCTACTATTTATGATTTCCGAGACTGACCTGGGCAACCGGCGAGGAATCTATTGAATCAAAGAATGCCGAAGAAGAAGGGGGAGGGAAGAGAGAGAGAGAGAGAGAGAGAGAGAGAGAGAGAGAGAGAGAGAGAGAGAGAGAGAGAGAGAGAGAGAGAGAGAGAGAGAGAAGACCGTTTGCAAAAAAAGGGGTTTTATCTTTTTTCGTATTCTCGCATTGTCTGTTGGTCTGTTTCCCTCTCACACCCTATCTGTCTGTCTGTCTCTCCCTCTCTCTCTTTCATTTTCCTCTATCTCTTTTCTTTTTATCCCCCTACCCTTCTCCCTTCCCATAGAGCCATTTAGACATTGCCATTTAAAAGTTAAAAATCAGTTCTACGTCATGATTACTAATGTGAATAAAATTAATTTCAGTTTTGAAGAGTCAAGCTATCCAGTATGTTTATTTTTCCCATACATATTAAGCTTAAAAAATGTATCATTTACTTAATATAAAAACAAAAACAAAAACAAAAAAACACTAATAAAACATGACGATAAAATAAACATCAATTGCATTATCGACCTTCAACGTAAACGGTAACAAAAAAGGAGTTCTTTCAAGAATCTCATTTCGGAGATAGAGAAAAAAAGAAGAAAACTGACCGCAGTGGTATGTATTCGGTGACATTTTTCGGTGCGCGATAGACAACAAAAAAAATCAAATCAGAAAAAATAAAGACGACAACAACATCAAATGTAAAAGAAAAAAATGGAGACAAAAGACGATCGATCTTCTATCAGAGCCAATCAACGACGAGGTTACAAAACTAACCAAGAAGAATAGACCAATCAGCGACTCCCTTTTGCGAACGCGATCCGGACGTTCTCAAAGGGTTACGAAGACGGGGCTTAAACGAAGGAGCATTTCATCATCCGAATTTAATCAGAAATCATTAAATCACATCGCGCGGAATATATATTCGATCAATCAATCTATATTTATATAATAATAATATTTCCAATCGCGTCTACCCAGCTGACTCACAGATGGCAGCACAGGTTGAGGTCTCGTCGTTAGTGACGGAATGTCGTTCGCCAGCTTTTTTTCCCCTATATATATTTTTTTCCTTCTACTTTTTCGTATGGTCGGCAATGTCCGCTTAAGGGATTAGAAGCTGAAACCGGTCACATCCGCCCACCTTTTATTAACAGTCTTCGAAAGAATTCAGTTTCAACCGTTAAAACCTGGGTGGAAATAACGTGCAGGATACCGTGTTAACATGTCGATCAGGAACAATGAACAAGTTATATCTATTCTTTATTAATCCTTTTTTTCTTATCTGAACTTTAGTTGTCGGTGTTCTGTCGCTAATTTAATGTGCATTTTTATTTATTCTGAAGAAGAAGAAGGAGGAGGAGGAGGAGGAGGAGAAAAGAAAAAAAGAAAAGGAGAGGAAGACGAAAGGTGAAATCTGGTCTCGAGAATGGTAATTAGGAACAGTGCCATTTTCTCATCAAAAGACAAGAAAAGCAAAGGCAGAGGAGCAAAGAAAAAAAATTGAAAAAGAAGAAATGAAGAGAACGGTGTGTGTGGCGGGGGGGGGGGGGGGGGTATTAGGGCAAGAAAATGAGAGCCGTTCTCGGAAGGGCAAGAGGGAGAGAGGGGAAGGAGGAGATGGAGGAAGGGGGAGGGGAAGGGAGGTGTTAGGGTAAAGAAAGGGAAACGGTTCTCGGAAGTAAGGGCGAGGGAGAGAGAGGGGGGGTAGATGGAGGAAGGGGGGAGGGAGGGAGGGAAGCAGTTCTCGGAAGGAAGGGCAAGGCAAGGGAAGCTCCGAGGGCGAGGCGCGTCGGGGCGAGAGAATCCTTCCCCGCAGTGTCTGACACAAGGAACCAACTTACGTTCGTGGAAAAATCTGTCCATCCAGGCCGGACTACTCTAAAGGGCGTCGGGTAGGTCAGGCTAGCAGGCCTCGGGAACAATCCCTCTCTGTCCTTTTCATCTTCCGTTTATCAAGTTCATTCATGTTCTCTTTCGTTCAATAGATCACCCCCGCCCGACACCGGGAGCCGAGGATTTTTGTCTCTCGTGTGTGTCTCGCGCAAGCTAAGGAGTCCGTGCGCTGAGCTCCTCCTCCCCCCCGACGGCGATTTCTGCCCCCCCCAGCGCCGTTCCGTGACAATCCGTAGTACAGCGACGTGACAAATCCTTACGTACCGCCGCCGAGGCACGCCCCATGAACGAAACAGGCACGACAGGAGGAGGACGCACGGAGGAGGCTCACGCATACGAGTGTGCGACCCTGCCACGGCAACGAGGTGAGATACACTGACACTCTTCCAAAAGGCCCGTGTGACCTTTGCCAGCTGCACTGTGGCAGGTGGCGAGGAGCGACTCCCTCGCCTGCTCGCGCGCCCTCCCGTTCACTCCTTCACTCCGCCCGCGCAGGATCACCGCGAGGAAGAGCGGGCGAGAAGAAAAGAAACAGGGAGAGGCCACAGCGCGATGACGGAAGGCGATGGAGTCGAACGCAGTCCCGCGCGGGAGGAAACCAAACGAAATTGACTGATGCAGCCACGCGAATCGCACTCATTAACGACGATAAAAGATAAGACATGCGACAGCCCTGCGCGGTGGGCAAAGCAAAGCATCGAATATCACGGGTAACGAGTTCTAATTGCTTACAAGGGAGGGCTGTCTGTCTGAGTCACGCACGCACGCACGCACGCACGCGCACATATCAGAGGCTAGAGAACAAGATGGAGAGATATATAGTTAGATGGATGGATGGATGGATAGATAGATAAATAGATAGATAGATAGATAGATAGATAGATAGATAGATAGATAGATAGATAGATAGATGGATGGATAGATAGATCGATAGATAGATAGATAGATAGATAGATGGATAGATAGATAGATAGATAAATGTATGGATGGATAGATAGATGAATAGATGGATGGAGGGATGGAGGCATAAACATACAGGATAAGCAAGGGAAATATATAGATATTCATGTAAATACGTTGGCATACACAATGAGACACATACATTTAGACAAGTGAAATTCCAAAAGGAGAACAAGAGAGAGAGAGAGAGAGAGAGAGAGAGAGAGAGAGAGAGAGAGAGAGAGAGAGAGAGAGAGAGAGAGAGAGAGAGAGAGAGAGAGAGAGAGAGAGAGAGAGAGAGAGAGAGAGAGAGAGAGAGAGAGAGAGAGAGAGAGAGAGAGAGAGAGAGAGAGAGAGAGAGAGAGAGAGAGAGAGAGAGAGAGAGAGAGAGAGAGAGAGAGAGAAAGAGAGAGAGGCAGAGAGAGAGAGAGAGAGAGAGAGAGAGAGAGAGAGAGAGAGAGAGAGAGAGAGAGAGAGAGACAGAGAGAGAGAGAGAGAGAGAGAGAGAAAGAGGGAGAAAGAGAGAGAAGAAAATCCAGAGCTGCAGCCATCCGTGAGGTGTGGTCGACAGGCAATCAGCTGGCCACGTTTTACCACCGAGGAATATGGCGGGTAAGTAATGGAGTCCCGGTAATTCACCAATCCAAGGTCACCTTCGACTCCCCCTCCCCCCCATTTACCCCTCCCCCCCTCCATTTACCCCTCCTCCTATCACATGCTCTTAATTATACTTCATTGACACCCTCCCTTTCCTTCCCTCCCTCTCCCCTCCCTCCTCCCCGTCTGTACCCCCTCCTCCCCCCCCAAACACACTTTCAAGTTCGATGACCTTTTCGGTGGCGGTGACCTTTTGAGGGGGGGGGGATGTGGTGACCCTTACGATGTGTGATGTGGTGGATTCTTTGCCTCTGTGTTGCCTGTGTCTTTAGATGTGTCTCTCGTGTGTCTTTGGATGTGTCTCTCGTGTGTCTTTGGATGTGTCTTTCGTGTGTCTTTGGATGTGTCTTTCGTGTCTTTGGATGTGTCTTTGGATGTGTCTTTGGATGTGTCTTTCGTGTGTCTTTTGTGTGTCTTTGGATGTGTCTTTCGTGTGTCTTTGGATGTGTCTTTCGTGTGTCTTTGGATGTGTCTTTCGTGTGTCTTTGGATGTGTCTTTCGTGTGTCTTTGGATGTGTCTTTCGTGTGTCTTTGAATGTGTCTTTCGTGTGTCTTTAGATGTGTCTTTCGTGTGTCTTTGGATGTGTCTTTCGTGTGTCTTTGGATGTGTCTTTCGTGTGTCTTTAGATGTGTCTTGTATGTCTTTGGATGTGTCTTACATGTTTTTTTGTCTATGTCTTCTTGCATTAGATTTTGGATGTGTCTCGCGCGTGTCTACAAATGTATCTTGCTTGTTATACGAGCCCAGACAGCGCTATTCACGCACACATACGTAACTGATTAGAGACGTTAGCTCACACACAGATATAGTTACGTACACAAAAGGCAACACACATAAGCCACACACACACATATCCACATATCCACTAACCTACATATCCACATACCCACGCTTACTTCAAGTCAGCATCTCACCTGAAGATAACAGACAATACCTAGATATCAAAAGTGACCCTTAACGATAGATTAGCCCGCCCCCCCCCCCTTTCCTACTTCCTCTGCCCCCCCCCTCACGCCACTCTAATAACAGATAGGTTATCGCTGTAAGTTTCTTATTTAAGATAAAGATAAACTCCATTTGATTTGATGAGATTATAGGAAGAGGAGGAGAATAGAAAGGGAGAGGGAGGGAGGGAGGGAGGATAGGAGAAAATGAATGAAAGTGGGGAGAGAGAGAGAAAGAGAGGGAAAGGGAAGGAGAGAGAGAGAGAGAGAGAGAGAGAGAGAGAGAGAGAGAGAGAGAGAGAGAGAGGAGAGAGAGAGAGAGAGAGAGAGAGAGAGAGAGAGAGAGAGAGAAGGAGAGAGAGAGAAGGAGAGGAGAGAGAGAGAGAGAGAGAGAGAGAGAGAGAGAGAGAGAGAGAGAGAGAGAGAGAGAGAGAGAGAGAGAGAGAGAGAGAGAGAGAAGGAGAAGGAGAAGGTGAAGGAGAGAGAGAGAGAGAGAGAGAGAGAGAGAGAGAGAGAGAGAGAGAGAGAGAGAGAGAGAGAGAGAGAGAGAGAGAGAGAGAGAGAAGGAGAAGGTGAAGGAGATAGATAGATAGAGAGAGAGAGAGAGAGAGAGAGAGAGAGAGAGAGAGAGAGAGAGAGAGAGAGAGAGAGAGAGAGAGAGAGAGAGAGAGAGAAAGTAGGAGAGTGAATATACTGTTATCTCAACGTAGGTTTCTCCGCATCTACAAACTCTACTTTCATCATTACCTTAACTATTGTTATTATTATTAACTATCATTTCTGTCACCATTACTGTCGTTGCTATATCATCATTATCATTATTATTGTTACTATTACTATTATTATTACCATTATCATCATCATCACCACCATCATTATCTCATCATCATTATCATCATCATTATTATTATTATTATTATTATTATTATTATTATTATTATTATTATTATTATTATTATCAACCTCCTCATCATCATTAACATCATCATTAATAGTATCATTATGATTATCATTATAATCATTGTCATTATGATTATCATCAATATAATCCTTGGCATTATTTTATCATTATTACTATCATCATCATTATCTTTATCAGATATATACATATATTTGATGAAGATATAATCGAAAAACGTCAAATACACATAGCTATTCATGTTTTTTCTACACATATCATCACCAGCACCACCCATTATTACTGTTATTATTATAATTATAATTATCATCCTCATTATTACTATTAGTAGTAGTAGCGGCAGTAATAACATCATTATTATCATTAGTAGCAGTATTACTCTATGGTAGAGGAGAGTCGAATAAACCACACATAAATCTTTCTTCATTACAACGCTGCCTCATACTACATAGAACAGAGATGCTGCGACAAAATGTAAACTATCTTTAGCAACACATGTGCTAACGCCTCCACTTCTAATATTATCAAGTACACGCAGACTAAATCAACGTACATACGCACACACTCAACTCTGTTTAGGTGCGTGCCCCACAACAAGGACGCGTCCGGACCCTCCGCCGTCTGTCATACTAAGGCCAAGTCATGGTCACCACTATATTACTGAGGCGCCGGAAGACAATACAAGGCTATACTTAATATTTCTTGCTCAGGGTGGGTGTGGGTCTCTGGGGTACAAACAAATGCATTGACAGGATGAGGCGGCAACAATGTACAATTTGCAATCTCTCACCATGTTGTCAGATGTCCACCAGCGAAGTCATTGCGAGGCCATTCGGACGACGGAAACGACATATGGGCTACAGCACAACGGACTTAAAGAATAAATTGATCCTCATTTCATGATTTAGATTATTAGCTTATTTTACAATGTGTGATTAGGGTGTGTAAGAACTGACAAAGCTTACGTGGCAGAGAAAATGCCCTTGGTCTGATTGTTTAAGGAACTAAATATACCATGAGATACTTCTCTATTAACACCATGAATGCAGCTTCTTATACTCCAGTAATTAAAAGGATATATAAGAGCGCCGAAACAAGGAACGCAAAAAGAAAACAAGATTAACAACAACACAGACATCGAGGCAACGAGGCATCATACCCACTCACGCTCGAACACTGTAATTTAATCAGAGGTCCCACCATTCACATTCTCTCATCGACTGCGTCTCTCTCCTCCCTTCGAGCATCATGCAAGACTCTCCTCTTCCTCTCCCTAGTCCCCCCGCCCCTCTTTGCAACTGCACAGTGTCCGTTTTAACAGTACTGCCACTTTTTGCTCCCTGGTCTCTCTCGGCCTCACCCGGCCGGGCATAGATCAGCCAGCCAACTAACCTTGCGACCCACAGGCTGATTCTCTCCCTCTCATTCTATCTCTTTCTATGTCTTTCGCTTCTTTCCTTCTCTATTTATATCTCTAGCTCATTGTGTATGTACCGTTTTTTTTCTGATTGTCTTCTTCTCAATCAGGCTCTCTCTCTCTCTCTCTCTCTCTCTCTCTCTCTCTCTCTCTCTCTCTCTCTCTCTCTCTCTCTCTCTCTCTCTCTCTCTCTCTCTCTCTCTCTAACTCTCTTTCTCTTTCTTCCTCTCTCTCTCTTCCTCTTTCTCTCTGTC